CCGTGCAGCAGCAAACTAATTTGCTATATATGGACAGTTAAACATAATTCACTGTTAGCTACTTTTTCTTTGCTGCAGAAACCTGTGATAACAAAAAAATCTGCTCGTACAGCAAGAAAAGTGACTAAAGTGAATAAAGTAAATTTGCTACAGATGGAATTAAACATAATTTACTTCAGCTACTTTTTTGTCGCAGAAGCAGATTTTCTTGTTATCTTAGGAAACTGGTTCCTGCAGCAAAGAAAAAGTGGCTAACACAGCAAATTATGTTTAGTTGTCCATGTCTTTTTTTCCATGTGTTAATGATACCCTCCTAATATTTGTTAATTTTTAGATATTTTTTTTCTCAGTGTAAGTCGTCAGTAGAATTTCTCTTCAAGAAACGTTCTTTCGGGCTGTGTGGCAAGTGCAATCACAAGTTCGGAAAGCAAGACAGAAGTGCGCGTTTCCAATAGAGTTTTCGATCGCGCTTGCATCAAGCGACTTTTAAACGCTTCCAAGTGCAGACTGATGTTAGACTGCACGCGCGCAAGCACGCGTAATTTCAAAATCGTTCTTGCGCGGTCACCAGCGACGGGCGGTCGGTTGGGCGTCGCGAGAGGCGTGCAAAGTGCAACGACTGACAAATTACACCGACGTGTCGGTGCACTCTGCAGCACGCTGATAAAGCCCTATTGGAGAGCTTTTGTGGCCGCTCTTTGTCATTACGTTATAGGGAATTAGCCACCTCGCTTAACTCCGCGAGAGCAATCGGCGACGCGCAGTGTTTCGACTTGGAAGCGAAGGAACGAAGCGAGTGAGAGCGAGCGAGTGAATGATTCCGCGCGAATCGCGATATTTATCCGCTTGGTGGTAACAATAAGAGCGAAACGAGCTCTCCTCGATAACAAGAATATTACGCACGAGAGAATATCACTCTTTTTCTCCTCTGTTCCTCTGCCCGCGAAACGTGCTTCTCCTTTTTCTTTTCTTCGAACAATTAACTCGGTAAATTCGATACAAGGCATCAGTGATAAATATACTTTTACTACGCTCCAAACGCAGCGCTTTCACCGAACGCCCCGTTTCGCGCGAGAATGCTCATATAATTGTTCGATTCCCTCATTAATTTGCGATTCCCGTCGTGTCCGTGAATCTTTTCGTCCCAGCGTGTTCATTAATTTGTTTGAGAGCGCTCACATCGCATGCGAAATGAATGGCACGCGTGTGCATTACGGGCGCGGATCGCCCCGAGAGTTTAAACGCATTATCCTCCTCTTTCCTTCTTTCTCTCTTAATTAATTGATGATAAAATGCGGAATCCGCGCTTGAATCGACGAGAACGACGCGTGGGGCGCCAGTCTTTCGTCGAAACTTTCCTGAAGAAACGTGTGGCCGAGCCTCTTTCCGCAACGCGAAAAAGGTCGCTCGTATGTGGAATTCGGCGAAAATTTCGCGTCGATGCGGGCGACTTGCGAAATCGGGGAGAACCACGTTCGACCCACTAACTCGAGTTACTAAGGCCCAGTTCCACAACCTGCAGTTAACTTAACTGGCTGATTATTCCATTGGACTTGGCCAATCGCATTTGACGTTAAGAAGAGTTAATCAGAATGAAACAATCTCTGTTGGAATTGATAGTTAAAATTAAACGGATGTGTGGAACTTGGTCTAAATCGCTGCGCGCGACTCTAACGCAGATTCACCAGCTGACGGTGTCGCGAGCACGAGCGCGCGACACTTACACGTGGACTACAACGCGGAAACGTCAGCGGTGCTAAACGCCGTGCGCCACTGACACCGATAAAACTGACGCGCTAATGAACTTCCGAGTTCTTGCTCAATAGGCGGGCGCGCGTGACGCCGAGTTGATGAGCAATTTTGCGCCGCCTTTGTGTCGTCGCTCGCGCGGCGACAAATTGATCACGTAAACTGATTCACGACTCTTGCCGCGCGAGTCGCCGGGGCGATAATCGGCTGCGCACACCATGATACGTCGTTACGACACTCGCTTCCGCGTATTATGCCCGCGATGAGTCGGATATAAATTCGGGGTCAAGCTGGAGCTGAATATCGCTTTGGAAATTTCTACGGTTATTCCAAGGCAAGTATAGGAAGCATGTAAGAACGAGAGAGAACGAGAGAGAACGAGAGAGAAGCAGCCGCGAAGTAATATTCCTTTAAGATAGCGGTTAGTAAAGAATTGATGATTCGAGGATTTAATCTCTTTATAAGAGATTAGTGATTCGAAGATTTAATCTCTATTTGCCGCAACTGGCCAATGGGATTAACGTTTTGTGCCATAACAAGAAGATTTAATCTTTTTATAATTTGATGTGTTGGCTAGATTGAAATCGCGCTAATATTTGACGGTGGAAAACACGCAACATTTTATTTTATTTTAGAGAAGCTTGGGATTATATACTTCATATTTTAAATTTTTGAAGTTACAACTTCCCAGACAGTTTGTGTAACTAATGTGTGTGTTAATGTGTGTGTAAATTAACCCCACGATCCCGTTAATTGTATATTTTATTTTGTAATAACCGAAATATGAACGTGACCACTTTGCGACATGATCTAAAATAACCGTTTCGCGACTTTATATTCAGTATTCCTTTCAAGGTAAAAAAATATATGAGCAACATACCCTTTGGGCCATCTAGACTCGGTTTTCCCTATTATTATTTTTACGTGTTTACATGATAACTCCCTCAAGCCAACACTCAAATAAGAGAATTCTATTTGCAAGCTGTTATTTTCTTAAATCTCAAATCTAAGCGAAAATTTTTACCGAAAATGTTCTTCTTCTAATAAAATAAACTATTAACGGGAAATCTTCTAGATCTGATTCTAATTTCTTTCCTCTTTTGAATCAAGATGATTTAAATGAATATATTTACTTGAAGCAGAATACTAAAAGAATTTTCTAATAAGAACAAGACTTATACTGTAAATAATAGACGAAATTTGTCTAAGAATATTGCGGTTAAAATATCTTTCTTTTGGTTTTAGAAGAATTCTCTTCACACACATACAGAGGTCGTATATAAAAATAAAATCCTCTCGGATCCAGAGGATTCCCCTAAGGAATTATATTCGAATGAATTATACACGAAAAAAAAACCTCAATTCGTGTCACTAATTTCTGTTACCTAGGGACCAGTAAAAATTCAATTGCAGGAACAGAAGAATTTCTATAGGAGGTCTTTCAGCCCATTATTCTCCATTATCTCAACCGAGTTTTAACGCAAATTTTAATGCAACTAAATGTTGTGGCAAATGTTCAGACAAATATTTTTAGTAATGGAGATGTCGTTTCCCGCGTCACCGAGTTTTCGTCTGATCACTATTTCGTCATAAGAACCGAGATTTCTATCTCCGTGTACGCATGTTACTGCGAAAATCAATGAGACTTCGTCATCGAGAGAAACCGAAGGTCGATACGCGGTTCTTTCACCTCGAATCCTTGAAAGGTGACACGTCACAGATGTTTTTCGTGAGGGTAAAAACGCAGACAGACGTATTTCACGAGGGGATCCCTCCATTGGTCGATCCCTCCGTCGCTGCGGAAAAGGTCGCCGAATTTTTGCGGTTGCGCGCGATAGCGGCTCCTCGGCGAGACACTTCAGAGAAATCCAATTATCGCGACGAACGAGAGTAACGATAAAGAAAGAAGGAAAGAAAAAGAAGGAGAGAGGAGAGAGATGAGCTAGCAAACGCGGTGATAAATGGCGCGATAAACGACCGTAAAAGCGCGGCAGATGCACCGCAACGCTACTGCGCTGAAACCGCGGAATGCGCATAATGCCATTCTTTCATGCGCGTATCTGAAAGGTCGTCGGATTTCGCGAGCGGTCCATTATTGAGCGCGATAAGGCGCCGCTCACGCGCAATTATCGATAATGTCGAGGGCTGTCAATCCTTCATAATTTAAACGCGCGGCGCGTCCTTATTTTATTCTTTTCAGCCGCGCGCACTCGATAATTAGCTACTACATTGATATCGAGACTCCAGAGGAGAAACTTCATGTTGTTACAAGCGACATTCAAGGATATATTGCCCGTGTCTCAGAGACAATAAAAAAGTTGTTGAAAAAATGACAGATTAATCTATATCGCATCTGAAAGTGACCACAAACAATTTGACATCGATTCGAAGTCTAGATTAAAAGTTATTTCATTTTGAAAAGGATAATAAACCCAGCAAATATGATAATGTCAAATGACGTTTCAATGACACATTAATAAAATCTCGAACGTCAGTGACACATTATTTGACGTCATCCCGCTACTTGGGGGTATGTGAATTCGTGCTGTTACAGAAATACATCTTTAGTAGAGGAAAAGATAATTGAAGTAATGAGAAAAATCTCAATCTTTTTATACATATACTTTAAGTATTCAAAACGATGTATGCAAAGTTCCATCGTGATTCAGGGAGAAATGAAAGTTTATATATTGCATGATGTTTGCTCTATCTTTAGTAGAGGAAAAGATAATTGAAGTAATGAGAAAAATCTCAATCTTTTTATACATATACTTTAAGTATTCAAAACGATGTATGCAAAGTTCCATCGTGATTCAGGGAGAAATGAAAGTTTATATATTGCATGATGTTTGCTCTATCTTTAGTAGAGGAAAAGATAATTGAAGTAATGAGAAAAATCTCAATCTTTTTATACATATACTTTAAGTATTC